TTACACGCACGTACATATACCGCGTCATTCCATATTAAATATATATTTCAAAAGTTTTAACTTGCGTGGGTGTGTATCATGGCTCGGTACAAATAAATGATGACGCATTTGAGTGGAGTTTGCGGTGTCTCGCGCGCAAGCTAAAACAATGACAAGAAGATCGCGTATACCGCGTTACTTTGGCTTCGTGTGTTTTACCTTACTCTCGCAGTCAGCTGAATTATCCATCCCCGTGACAAAAGTGCAATCTTGTGTTCGATTCTGTGGCTTAAAAGTCTAGGCGAATCGATTGGCTCCGCGCGCTGAATATTTCATCGAAGCGAATCAAAAATAACGTGCGAGAACTTTCGATTATGGATTTTACGATTGAAATGCAAAAGCCGTCAAGACAGCAGCTAGGGGAGCGATACCTGCGACTGTGTGTGTGTGTGTGTGTGTGTGTGTGTGTGTGTGTGTGTGTACGTGTGAGTGTATTTGGCCGGAGGGCAGAGAGCCAGTATCGGCTAACACTCGAAAAAGACCTCAGGCCGGACGGAGCTTGCAATTTCTTCCATCGCGAAAGTATGACGATGAGACTGCTCTCATCAAGCTATACCTTCTCGCTGTTCCAGAAAACTTCCGCTCAACGTAATAATTCGCTCTGTTTTGCTCTTCGCAGGGCTGCTGCTACTGCTGCAGCTGTGCACGCCGTGGCTTCGTACTGTTTTTTTTTTATTCTGCTCTATATATACTTCTTTTCTGTTTCTTTTCCTCCGTTTCATCGTTCCGGCTCTTTTTTTTATATAGCCCGCGGGGACTGCACGTTTTCTATTCTTCTTTTTTTATCCGTCTTGTTTTCAAGACTATATGCGCCACGAACTAGGTAAAATAATAAGAAATTCCCGTTGATTTTTCTTCACGCGTAATTTGTGATTTTTATAATAATATAAAGTTAAGAATTAGCAGATTATTTTCATAAGCTTATGCCGGCACAAGTTGGGAAATTCAACGGCTGACAAGACTAACTTTGAAACGCCTCTTGCATGAATATTTTTCCTTGTTTGCTGGTTAAATTTGGTAGTACAACGAAGCACGATGTCGTAATGCTGTTTCTCCATGCAGGAGCATTGTATAAAAAATATTACTCCATTTACATTTTCAATTATCTGTCGAGTCTGCCATTTGCAGTGAAAACACAAGAGATCAAAAGTCTTAAGCAGCCACACATCCACAGCCACACATGAAACTGATAAAGTTCACCCAATCGCGTCGAGTTGTATAGTCTGTTCGAGTAGAATATTTAACAGGCGAAAGAGGAAAGCAGCAGAGGGAAAAATATTTTCACCACACAGGCTAGAAGAGTGGAGTAAAATTTCTGCATCGCAGAAAACAGCAGTATAGCTGCAACGCCCGGAGTTTAGTACTCAAACATCGTTTCTCTTTTATACTCGTTGCATCTCGCGCTCGCGTATACACCTCGCGCTGTTAAGGTCGACGGGGCGGCGCGCATCCCCCCAAGGCTTATACGTAGCTATATGTACGTAGCAGTTCTAACTCCTTAATTGTTTCCCTCGACAAGTGAGTGCGTTTATATATACATGCGAAGAGCCGCCTCTAAATCATCCTCCGACTCGCGCGCTCCGCTCACAGTTTCTAATAACGTCTACGTGGCCGCACGCGTATAACGACTTTATGGCCGTGAGGCTAGCCCGAGCCCGAACTAGCAAAAGAGAGAGAGAGAAAGACAGGCGCGAAGGGGCTGCACTGCTGCCGTTTACATGTATACGTTATTCGAGCACACGGACTCCTCCGGTAAGCAGTGGTCTCTCGCCTACATAGCTTGGGATAATATTGCCGCGTCTGCAAGCCGAGTAATTCTCTCTTACCTGCGCGTTATAAGCGACGCACGTACGGAGCAAGAACTTGGCGGTGCCCCCCGACCATGCCTCCGCTTCTTTGTGTATTTCGATATTATTTTATGCAGCTGGAGGCTCGATAAATCTCGAGCGCGTGAATCGCGCCGTGACAATTAAATGACAATATTTTGAATGGATCCGAGGCATAGCCGAAGATGATCCAAGAAAATTAAAAGATAACATCTTCTCATAATATTATCAAGAGCAATCCGAGGTTGTTTATAAGCCCCAGGTATAATAACTGAACACCAATGAGCGATATTGAGAAGAATCCAACGTTTCATTGTTTATATTATTATCGATAAACATCTTAGGAATCAACTGCAAGCAACAGAATATAATATAGAGACGCATGTTGATAGATATAGTATAATATTCAAGAACTTTTTCCACGCGATTTTCACGGGAAATTTAGATGAATAGATTATTGATTCGTATATGACGAAGAAATTAAGCTCTTGTTAAAAAAAATGAAATTCGTAAAAAAATATTATTTAGTCAGTTCGGAAGCATCGTTAAAGTGAATTTTCATTGAAAAACGGCATAAAACAACAATTCTCGCTAGCGAGGCAGGTAATTTGGAGCATAATAGGCTTGATCAAGCTCGTTCGACTGTCGAAACACGCTTATACTTTTCACTTGGCAGGGGCGCTCGGGCGATACATAAACCACACACAGCTCGAAATTGAATTTTTGCGCTCTCCAAGAGCTCCCCTCTACAAACTATATAGCTATAGATATATAATATTAGTTTTGCTCTCATGTGCTTCGTCGGCTTTATTATTTTCCTACTTTTTTTGCCTCCCTCTCTACATCCTTATCCGTGGAACACGGTTTTCGTTGGATAAACCTCGCCAATCAAACATAAATATCACTAGCTCAGGAAGTGCTGTATCTGTGTATAGAGAACGCGCGGAGCTTGCAGTCGTACACAGCATATTTATATCGCTATGGCTTTATAGTAGCGCACGCGAGCAAGTTTCGGGCTCGAGGTAAGCTCATAAATAGGCATAAAGCAGGTATATACGCCAGCACGTCTCTCTGCGTACCACTGCCTTTGCGGGGCCAATCGTGTCGCGGTGGGCTGTTTTATTTCTTTTTACCTTTGAATAAACTAGCTATTTATCCGTGACATAGCCATACACGCGGCTATCACGATACACGTTTTACGATCGGGTCGAGCACAAATCGAATCATTCGTCACGGAGGTCTGTACGAGCTGTTCATAATGCATCCGAGGAACATCGATGCGTCTTGGTACCGATCAGTGAGGCAGATCTAACAAGTTAACATGCTGGATAAAAAAGCCAAGCCTGAGGAGAGCGTGAAATATGAAAAGTAGCATAGAGAACTTTTCCGAGCGAATTGTCTTTGCCTCGCGTGCGTAGGGAAATACACAACTATTCTTAGCCTTTGTGTGTTAGAAGGGCGTGCGTAGGGAGCGGTGCACATACGCCACTTGGTCGATGTGATATATGCGACTCAACGCGAGGACGCGCTACTGCCTACGCGTTTACATGTGTGCGCATTTGCCTCATATTCTTTAAGCTCGCGCACGAATAAGGTTAAACGTCGGGTTATTATGAGTAACATATCTCGAGCTCGTATGCCTGCGTACGAAGGCAGATATACCGAGAGATACACATTCTGCCATGTGCGTAAACGTGTACAGCTTTACGAGCTCACTCTCTATTATGCAGTCGAGGGAGGGCGAGCTTAGCTTAGCTACATACACTCGAGAGAGTCGCGAGGCTTTATTAGACCAATAAAATGCGGATTACCGTTTCGTGGTTTTGGCCTCCTCTTTTTCTTTTATATATTATATAATAATAATATAATATACACACACATGCGCTTAGACAAGAAACTCGGGTAATACCGTTGCGGTGAAAAGGAGCGCCCCGACGAGCTTTCTCTTCCAGACGATCTATATAATGCAAAAAGAATCGCAGGCGCAGAGCTTACATCCATCAATCTGTCCGGTAGTGAAAATTCGGTCTGGTCGACGGGGAAAAAGCCTTTTTTTCTCTGTATGTAATGGTATATAACGCGCGAAAAGAACGCCGAATAATTTACAGCTTCACCGAGCTCGAATGAAATTCTAGACGTGTAATTACATGGCGAGACGATTTTTATATTCCACACTCGAATCTGCACTGCCGCTGCTATTGCTGCTCTGCATGCAGATTTTGCAGTTTCGAGGTAATATAGCACAGAAGGAATCGAAATTGAAAAATGCCTTTCATGTAAATGAAAAAAGGGAACATTTTTTCGACCGTACAGAGCGTTAAATTCATTTGTAGTTTGTTGTATTATCGAACTTTTTCTCCCGCAACGCAGGTACGTCGGCAAAAAAAGACAAACAAAATATGTCCCGCACGTTTAGGTTTTATTTTCTCAAACAAAAAGTTGGTCTAACGAAGCGCGATAGTACACGTGCGGGGCGGCCGTGATTGCGGCTTTTCTGCGGCTTCTGTCGAGCTAGAGCGCGAAAATCGAATACAACAAAGCTCCGTAGCTTAATTTGCAAGTTTTCGGCTAACAGAGGCGATAGCCCCCTCGAGCACTGGCAACATTTATGCGGAAGGAAAAGAACCGGTAATACCAGCGCACTGAGAGATCTAGGAAGGTAAAAGGGGCTTATACCGTATTGTACGCTAGTACTCTTCAAGTTCCACATTCTCCAACTTTTCGCGTGTTCGCTCTTTCTCCTTCTCTCTCACTCTCTTGACTAGGCGCGCTCTACATTCGATAGTATTTTTGCGAAGAGGCATTCTTGCCCATTTCTTCGGTTTCAGGAAAATTCCTTGCCAGTTTTTACTCTCTCTCTCCCTCCCTCTTTCTCTATGTCTCTCTCTCTTAAAGTACTACTGCAAGCTCGATGTGGGGCTATATACGTTGTACAGGTACACACGTAAAGATCGATAAAAAGGAAGCTTGCAATGCTCGCGTTGCAAAGTACTTTAACACGTTGTACACGTTGTATCGAGCACGTCTTTATCGATAAATTTGCTTTTATCCTGGTTTTACAGATGCCATTTTTAATGTATATTGCAATCAATTCTGTTTACTCTTAATCACTTGTATTTATGTGCTCTTTCGCAGGTATATTCGAGTCGGACGGCCAGCCAGTGCCGAACAAGATGTGCGACTACCAATTCGTCAGCTCGCAGTACACACCACAGCACGGACGCTTCTACTCGCCACGCTATCCGTCTTCCTATCCTGAAAATGTCCACTGCGTTTATCAATTTCGTGCGAGGTAAGTCTTCGAGTCTTTCGTAAACCCATTGAAAAGTGTATACATTAAAAGCGTGAAACTTTATTATTTCACGTGGCTTCCAGCAGGCCCTTTTGTACCTTATAAACTCACTCCATTTCCACTAGAAAGTCAGTGCGAGCTTGTACCATACTTCCGGCGTACTGCTCGCGTAGTTTCGCGCGCAAAGAAAAGCAGCACGAGGGATGGAAGAAATTATCCAAGGATATGATGAAATTACTTAAAAGCGCAGGAGATTAGAGTAGAAAGTTGATGGAAAATAATGGAAAGTCCGGGCTTTGCGCTTTTCTTCGGCTTTTCACTTAGACCTATCTTAACTAACCGTATGTTCTCGATTATAACTCGATTTCTTCGGAACATTCGACCAAATTTATTTTCGATCGTCTTTCTACCGCAGCTGCGCGCGCGTGCCCGCTATAATTAACCACGTAATTGCAACTTTGCCCTCGAATTCTTTTTCTCCACGATAAATGCGTATAAAAAACTGGCAAAAAAACTTTTCTCGAGTGTAACAAATAGCACGTAATCCATCCCCAGTGTCAAATTTGTCTTGTCACTGTATCACCTGGCGTGCGTACAAACTCACCTGACAAAAGAGAGAATCATTTCCTTGCCGCAGGGCCTGCTGCTGCTGCGTTGCGCGCTTTGCACAAATAAAAAGCTGCGGTATATGCACGTGTTCTTGCGTGAAATATCCCAGTACACGCGCAGTTATTATTATACAAAGGCATTCTTATATTTATCCGCGGACTACATAGAGCTTCTCTCTCTCTATGTAGCGCACGCGAGCGAGCTCGGCAGATGTAAAAACGTGCGTCACATAGCAATCGCATGCGGCGCGTATCTCTCTAGCTCGCGAAAGAGAGAGAGAGCTAGAATCAAATGGACGCCAAAGCGGAAATCACGTACACCGAATCTATTCCGGTTTATCGGTACATATATACATTCGCGCTCCTCTTTTCTTATTTTTCTTTTTATTTTCATACGTCTCTTCTACTGCAGTGCATATTAGACCCTTGGCCCTCGAAAGTCGCAAGGGGAGAAGGAAGAGAAAACGAGAACGAGAGTTATATCTTGCGATTCTGTGCGCGTGTGTGTCTGTGTGTATAAATACGTATGAAATAGCAATCGGATGTTTGATTTATAACTGGCCCGTGTCGTTTTGACTTTATTTTCTTTCGCTCGTGTCCACAGGAGCAAGGAGCGCATACGAGTGGTCTTCGAGAAGCTGTCGCTGCAGAAGGGGGACGTCAGGTGAGACTACTTTCTTTACATTCTTCTCTTTTTATATACCACCATATATCCACCCACGCATTCACACACTTGGAATGAATTGAATCGATTTATTTCAATGACTTTTTATCGTTGCCAATTAAAGTACTCGCTATCGGTCTTTGGAGAAAAAGTTAAAAGTAGATTGAAACAGATTTGAATAATCCAATGGGGAGACACACTGCGAAAAAGAGAACAGAAGAGGCTTGGAGCAGTCTCGAGAACTATTAAAAAAAAAGAAGAAGAAAAAAAACACTCTCGACCACGGAAAATTAATGCGACGCTATTCATTCGAGGCTCCTAAGAGTCATCCTTGCGCGGCGTTATCTCGGCCCAGGAGTGCAAAGAAAGTGCCGTTTTACTGTATTACGAGAGTAGCTCGCGCTCACTGCAGTAACAACAGAAGCTCGCTCGCTCGCTCCGAAGGCATTTAAAGTGCCTCTATATCCGTGCGGTAGCACTAGTAAACCTTCTTCGTGACTCTTGATTCCCGACTGCTCCTTCTCTCCCTCTCCTTCCCTCGCGAACTCGAGTTTTCAAAACGAAAAGCGATCGTTTAAATTCAAACTGCTCTTGATACCGTGTTAAATAAATGCGCAGACATGGTCGATTGCCAATGCGCGCCACCTCGGTATTTTTCGAAACGCGGCCCAAGTACTAGTGCGCTTTAAATTTTTTATTCGTATGAAATATATACGCGTGGCACTTGTTTGGCCTTTTTTATAAACTCGAGCTTCCATTTGGATCAGCTGCAATAACTGCGCCAAGACGTTAACGAATCATCTCTACATCTTGCGCAAGTTCTCTCTATCCTCAGAATTACTCACCACCGGTATAAGAAGAAGAAGAAGAAGAAGAAGAAGCGTAGTGTATGTAAATTTTGTCGCTCTCTCATACGTCTCTCCCTCTTTCATCGGGGTTGGCGAGATATTTCTTTCCGTTGACAAACGCGCGCATATCACATATATGCATACTTGGCACAACATCAAGTCAAGGTGGAGAGCCACACAAAAGCGACAGCCTCGCATGCATCCGCGCATGTATACGCTCGAGCCGTATATACTTTAACATCATAGTCGGGTTCGGTGTATTACTACCCGGGGAGCAGCAGTAGCGGTACGTCGAACTCAGCGCGATATAGAGTTCTTGAACGACAGGAGAAAAGCTCTTCATAATGCAGGTGTTCTCTTCGCTACGTATACATTATAATATAATAATATATAAGCCGTATCGCTGATTTGATTACATGCGTGTAGCTGCGCGCACGTAAACGCCGAGCTTATATCGCGCGCGAGCTTATTATGTATCGAATTTATATGATAGAGAGCGAGAGAAGCTACGTCCCGTGCGTAGCTGCAATGCTTTGTCTATACATGCGCGACGAGCACACACGCACATACACACGCAGACTGCCTAGCGGGCCAACGTACATAATGCATCCCGCCGGTGCGTTGTTATGCACGTGCGGTGCTGGCTGCACAGGCGACGTCAGCTCGCGCGGCCGCTCTGCCAAGTCATACGTCAGTCATAAAATGAAAAGCAGAGCGAGCTGCGTGGCAAGCGAAATTTTATCAAAATTTTATTAAAGAAAAGATACGTAGCTATAGCTGCGTGAGTCTTTATATTATATAAGGTTCGCTCGAAGCTGTCTCTCTCGTCATGTGCATGCGAACGAGAAATCCAACACGCTTGAGTTGGCGCTTCTAAGCCATCTCGGTGGCTAAATCCCCCCAATCGAATCGATAAATCACTTGGTGTAAATCGTATATCGGGCCGCAAACTGCACCGCCTTCAAAGTTTCCAATCAAGTGCAGCGTGCGGCCTCTGTCCACTGGCTCTCGTGGAGCGGTGCATGTAGTGTTCGGCTCCTAGACGAACAAGCTCGCCACCCGTCTCGATATATGCACCAACGATACGTATCCTTTATCGCTGTGTTCTTGTGAGTGCGTATGTGTGTGTGCAAAATACATAGCTATGTATAGCGAGCTGTGTCTCGGCAGTAGGGCAACAAGATCGCCTTGTTCAAAGTACATATAGTGAAGCTGTATCAACGATAACAAGCCGAATCCTTCCGATGCGCTACAATTTCACTTGTGCTATGGCTATATATATGCATAATGCACCTCTTAGCCCAGCTCTCGAAACTCTATACACACCGTGCGCGCACGCATACGTTTGTGTACATAATGCAGTGGCATCTCTATACACGTATGCACACGTGCTTTACATCGCAGTGAGTGCCTCTCGCGAAATTTTAATTAGCTGCTGCGTTACATAAAGCTTTACAGCCCGAGCTTCGTGCAAGCTCAGCTATGTCATTTGCTGTAGGCTGCAGCCCACGTGATAAAACTCTCGAGGCACGGCCCGCTTATTATTTTTGTATCGAAGACTTGTACGAGTACGACGAGAGAGAAAAAAAACAAGAATGGCCTTTTAGCGTGTTGCGCAAAATTAATTGCGCCTACTCGAGCTTGAGTTATCAGTTACTCGTGACTCCACTGGTAAACTTCAATTAATTCAAAGCTTTGCTTCGGGTTAAAGACCCCGTACACACGTACACAGCATATATGCGTATCATACGTTCGAGTAGTGTACATAATCTAGAACAGCATTAATTGGCGACAATAAAGGCTTCGCGAGTTCGAGTCAAATCCGAGTACATGTATATATACCGGGTAATTGTATATAGCGAAGCTAGAGAGAAAGAGAACTGCAAGCACTGCCGTGTACAGAGTCATAGAGAGGGAGAGCTAGAGTAAGGAATCAAAGAGGATTTCCATTCATATGTACTCAGTACGTATACATACATACACGCATACACACACACACACACACACACACACACATGCGCTTGAGCTTATGGCTGTGACATTTGAGTGTAATGTTCTGCTATGTACAATACCGTTTCAGCTGCCTGAACAGAGCAGACTTGATCAGGGTGTACGACGGCAGCGACCAAGCCTACCCGGCCATAGCGGTATTGTGCAACGAAGACTCCGAGGTCGAAATCCTTAGCACCGGGCCAGATTTGCTGGTCGATTTTGTGGCCAATTCCAAATGGCCGGGCCAGGGATTCAAGGCAACTTTTCAGTTTCAACCGGTCGACGATCACGTCACAGGTGAGCCTCTTTTTACAATATTCCATCGCTCCAATGAATGCCACGAAATCAATTTTATCGAAGCTTTCTTTCATCGATCGAACATTCAAATATCGGTGTCGGTAACGCAGAAAACTCGGAGGGCAGCGGTAGCGCTTGTCGGCGGAGGCCACTGCTGTGAACCCTCCTCCCGATGGTAAAGGAGGTTTTGCGCAACTGCTTTGAGGAAGCTCGCTCGTTTCACGGCTGGTAATTTTACTCTTTGCATCTAACACGGATACAAGCGAGCTTCCCCAAACTCCATTTTCTTATCCATGTTTGATAACATCCAATGATACGATAAGAATATTCGAAATTTGCACGCACTTTTTTCAATTCAAAAATTCTTTAAGGTATATTTCCAATAGATTATTTGGACCGAGCGCAATAAAACTTGACTCGTTTCTATTAACTCGAAATGCTCTAGGTTATTTGACTTGACTTGCGTTACGCAGTAAAATCAGTCCAGAGCAATATCATCTGCCGTCTCTCGCGTTAATTTCCTCTGGCTCTTGCACGTAATTACTGCAGCGCCCATACATCCGCGTTCGGCCTTAATGTGCCAACGGTAGTCCATAGTGTGACTTGGCACCGCGTAATATATATTCTAGAGCATGATGATTACAACGCGTGTGCATGTTTGTGTGCGTGCCCATTTACGTGTGTTGCAGAAACGGACAAGCAGCTGCCCGTGGTCCCCGGGGTGGTGGCGTCGTCGAACAGCGCCAAGTACTCGTTCATCGGGCCGGCAGTCAGCGCCACAAGTAAGTATCTCAACTTTGTCAACGCATTCCACATATCGTATATGCACAAATATAATTCGTTACTGCAACATTATCGGTTGCAAAATTTCATGTATATTACATTGTTTCTTGGCTGCGTGACTGAATACCGCAACGAGACCCGAGAGCGCGTGCATTTCCTTCTCTTCGTCCTCCTCCTCCTCTTCGCAGCCCCGCAATGAATTAGTTCTACGTGCCCAACTTCCCCAGCGACGTATGTGTACATACAAATGTTTAATGAAATGCTTTTGCTACAAACTGCGTTTCAGCGCATGTTTATACTTAATCATGTGTTTGGCCGTGATAACAGAAGGATTTTTGCAAATAAAACCTCGGCTTTATCAAGCATCAGGGTATTGGAATTAAAAATATGTTATTCAGATTTAAAATAGATTTACAAAGTGAAAAGCTCTCCTTTAAAAGTGAGCCATCGAAATTGCTGTAATTTTCAAAATAACGCAGACAACAAGTTTACGAGACTATTGTCCGGATAAAAGCCTCTTTTCTTCCTCGACGAAAATAACATCAGTTATAATAATGGCAAAAGTTGGATATTCGTCAAAAAAGTTTCATGCCGGAAATTCGTCAGGAGCGTGCGCCTGGAAAACAAGATATTTCCGATACGTCTCTACGATAAGAGGAATTTAGCTTGGCAGATAGTGATTCGTGTTAGATAAAAATCGTCGCGCGTGGATTTAATTCCCCGAATAAAAGCATAAGCTGCGTAATTACATACAAATATAAGGTGGCAAAAGTTGCCGCGTCTCGAATCCGTCACCGCAGCTAAGATAAATTCTGTTTGGCAAAGTAATATTGCACATCTAAGGAGGAGAAGAAGAAGCAGCAGCCGAGCGGGTGGCTATCAAAGTTTTCTTCAACTACATCCAATTTTTCTCTCATGACTGCCACGTACACACTCACACACACTTTTACCCACGGACGGAAAACAATATGCCAGATAACCTTTCTCTTCTTTCATAACTTGGCCGCGCACATACACAGACTCTCGAGCACAATAATGCGTGATTCATTTCTTTCGATAACATACAGCTGGTAGGTAGTGCGCGAGAAACTTGTCGCACATTTAGGGATCAAAGCAGTCCAGCCGCTTAATTTTCGGAAAATTCGCCATCGACCCGAATTGGCCAAAGCTGTCAGCATACGTGAATGCGTCGCTGAAGAGCAGCCTAGGAATTATTCAAATGTGGCTGTGCACCGATAACGTCTCTCGCTCTTATTAAACGAGCAAGGGATGCGCGTACAGACACGGGAGCCGCACAAAGACAGAAAGCGCGTTAAGTATACACGAAGTTAATGGACGTAATTTCAATCAGTAGCAGGACTCTACGTCGTGGCCTGCGCAGCAGTAATATCCTAGCAAATATTACGTATGAGCCAAAACGTCCAATGAGTGTAGATCAATGCCCGAAGCGCTCGAATACACAATCTGGCGTATCTCCGCGAAATGCGCCTCGGCCAATATCCGCACTTGGACGTAAACAAGTGGCGCAGCGCGTACCTACCAACGGCGTATCAAACGGCGCCGTTGCTGCTGCGAGAGATTTGCGAATCGGGTGCCTTATCAACGCTCGGCTGGCGAGATTCAAATGAAATATTTTTCACGTGATTTTCCCGGCGAAACTCTACGCTGCCGAATTCATCTTCTCGCAGCGCCGGAGAGAAAGTGCTGACTCTTTCCCTTTTGCCTAGGAATGTTTGAACCATCTTTTTCCTGTTATCTGGTGGCCGGGCTTGCCTTTTGAAATCCAATGAGGTTTCCGTGCGCGCACACGGGATTACACACGCCAGGCAGCAAACTCCTTAGCTATTTTCGTATGCATCGCGCGCCAGAGAGAGAGTATATAAGCCTCGCGCTCTGCAAGCCTGTATTAAAGTACTGTTAATTCTTCGAGCTGTGTATGTGTAATGTAAGGCGAGCGAGAGACTCGGCTCTCCTTGAAAAAGCTCGGCATGCGATGTATGCATGCATACATATTTATACGCGAAAACTTGAGATCCACGCGCGAGTCTCTCTGACTTGTTTTTTTTTTTTTTTACTCCATACGCAGCTAGGCTTTTCTTTGTCCTGAATTAGGAGTATATGTTTGTGTAAGGCCTTTTTCGGCGAGCAGCATTGCACAAGCTCGAGTCTCTTTCCCGCAACTGCTTATGCGAATCTTTGTGGCTCGCTGAGCTGCAGTTGAGTACGTACATTTACGTTTGGCTTTGAGCAAGTACTGCAGCAGGCGCGCAACGAGCGGCTTTTTCTTTTGATATAGTTTAGCCACAGCAGAATACACTTATGTAACTACATATCCCTGTATTTTGCTTACGCGCGCAGCGTGATCGATCAATGTTACACCAAAAAGCTCGGGACACTTTGTCTCAACTTTTTACGCATTGGTTGATTCGAGTGGTAAACTGTAACTTTCGCTGGGAGCCCCGAAACAGTGGCAGCAATAGCAGGTATTATCGTTCGCATATTTCTCTCGGCTTGTTATTTTGTTTTATTATTGACGCAGACCGACGTTGCTTTACACACCGCAGTTCGCAACTTCCTTTGCATTTTGTATCAGGCTGTTTAGAGCGTGGCCCAGAGAAGGAGGACTCCGTTATCCGCATTAATGTTTTGCTACGTATGTACGTTTTCTATCTCTCTCTGCCTCGTACTTAAATATTCGCGTTTGCATATTGCAAAGAGATACGTAGTTTTCCCCCCAGAACAGTGGCTTTTTCGACTCTATGTATTCGAGCTTGTTTAACGTACACAGCACATACATTCCCATTCAAAGGTCACTAGGGCAGAATTCGAGAAAAGAACTTTAAAAAGTGAAGCTTCATTTAAAAGTTGCGCGCGTGCCTGTATCTACATGTTTGCGAATGCACGTAACTAGCTTGACGCAGATTTACTTGGCTACTTTTTGAATCAACAACATTTTTAATGAATATCGAAGTGACTGTGTTTATTCTGCAACCCTTTTTTCCTAAAAATTTTTCATCTCCTTCTCTTCGCTTGGGTTTTTGAAAATAACAAAAACATTTTTATAGTTGAACTTCCGTCCCGTGCAAAACATCTTGATAAAGAAAAGCAAGAAATTTCCATTGCCTCGTTCAATATAATGATAAGTTAAAAGTCTTATTTCCTTACCACATGATGAAGTATGCCGCGAAGTCTCGAGGAATGCAAAAATCGACTTTAACTTACCATTCGAGGCCAACTGAAAATCAATCGTCGTCGTAGCGACCAATTCCTTCAGCACTCTCTTCCTGCTACTGCGGGCGTTTATATATGTATAAGTATACGAAGCTACTGCATCTCCTTAAAATTTATCTGCATCCAGCTTCCAAGGTTTACCCCGACGCGAGTCCCGTGGAAAAAAGTAGTCCCCGAGTAAAACGACGAACGAACGGAAGAGAAAGAAAAAAAGGTATGAAAGGAGAAAGAGAAAAGCGATAAAAGAAAGAGCAAACGAGAAGCCAAGTACATCAGCGGGAGCAGTTGTAGTAGCATGGAAGACGGCGACGTTGGCCTCTTTAGATCCCGGTGAAAATCTAATAGACCGCGAGAGCTCCAGATGAGATATTGGTTTTAAGGACGATCGAACTTTCTTCTCTTGTAAGCGTGCACACGGACGTGCACGCCCCCACTACCCTATTTAGATCTTGTTATTTTTCTTATCACCCTTAACTGGCCTCCTCGTCCTTGAAGGGGAAAAAACCTCCTAGGAAGCTTTTAATTAATGGCTTCTTTGCACGGGGGTACATATTTTTTTGCTTGCAAACGTCGTCGTCGTCGTCGCCGCAGCATCAGCAGCAGCAGCCCCGCAAGTCCACGGAATCATGCGAGTTCGCGAGTAGAGAGGTGAAAATCCTTAAAGACGCGCTGATTAATCGATTACTTTGCGCCACATAATGCCTGATCTTAGTAATCCTCCAAGTTGGCTCGCTCTCAACAAGTTTCCAAGAGTATGCGCGTAAATCTCGAAATTACGCCCGAGATTATTACAATAAATATTTGATTTTCAATGCGGGCATTATCGCGACTCGCGAAAAGTTTTATCGTTCGCATAACGGCGCATAACATCGAATTCGATTATCGTAATACGCACAGGCGCGATATAAATTCGAGGAAAATCTCGCGTAAACGGGCATCGAATTTTAAAAGCTCGATGTAAATGTATAAGGAAAAGAGGGCCGAGGTCGGCCTGACGCAATTTTATTTTTTATTTTTGTTGTCGAGTGCACCGATAGGCCCATAAGCTGAATGAACCGACGATACTCGGGTGGGCTTTCGATTGGAAAAAATATTAGAGCAAAAGAGTCTCGAAACGAGCAGTGTAGGCGCGCGCGCGCAAGGCTAACTGAATGCAATTTCGCCCCTAGTTATTTATTGACTCGCGAATATTGAATATTCTCTCTCGCGCTCGCTGCTCTTGTATCCCTTCTCTCTCCTGCATATATACGTGCGAGTATGTGCAGCGCATGTGTGTATAAACGTATAAATATATGCGTCGATTTTGGTCGGTGACGTTTGCACGTGGAAAATCGGTATGAAAAAAAGAGGAGACGGGTATCGAGCAAACGAGAGAAATTACTTCGCTGAGTAAGAGTCGGGACGCTGGGCTGAATAAAAAATACACCAAGGCCAAGTTTTAGCTGGCACCTAATGTATGGCTAAGGAGCTCTAGCCGAAGGGAGAGAGAGAGAGAGAAAAGTCATATACGCGTGCGCGCCTACGGGACAAGCAGAGAATGAGAAATCGAGAAAGTGCAAGCGGCTCTCTAGCTACAGTAGGAGGAGGTATAAGGGGGCGCAGGCTGCTCTACGAGAGAAAGCCGCAAGATTATTCCGATTGATGTTACACAAGAGACGCGCTCACTGGCTCGGAGCTTTAAATATTTCCATCGCTCGGGATGATTATTTCATGCCGCCGCAGTTGGCGCGCGCAATTTGTACGCGACGTCAGGCCTCTGCGCAATGCC